TAACGATATTATTATATATTTTACTTTCATCATATTCTATAAAGTTCCTCACATTTTCATATCAAAAAAATTATTTCAATGGATGTCAAATTTAAAAAATAGTAAAAAGATTAAGAGCAATGAAGTAAGGGAAAATGCCAATGGCAAATCTGAGGTCTGGAAAAGGCTTTCATTTATATATGATGAAAACAAAGAACTTAATCATGTAAGTTGCAATTTTTGCAAATATATGCTAACAACATTCATAAAATATATGATATTATTAAATTATTTTAGGCATGAATCAACTAAAAAGGCATAAATGCGTATTTACAATAGAGAGTAAAAAGACTCAATTAACAATTGATAGTTTTTTTTGGTACTGGTCCCAAAAAGTCAAAAGTTGTGCCAAACAGTGTCCCCTACACTTTTTGAGGAAGCAGAATACCCCCCTGAAAAGTACCCCCCATTTTGACACCCATAAATTTTTAATACATTAACAACACCAGTGATCAAATAGTGGTAAAATGTAAAAATATATATACTTTAAAAATATTCTTTTTAAATTAATAATTTATAAATTAGGGGAAGAGAAAGTGAAAGAATTTAGAATTTCATCGATATTTAATTGTTTAAATAAAAAAAATTTCCAGATAAAATGGTTAAATTATTGAGAAATGGATCTTTCATGTTTAAATTAATTTAATTTTACTCATGACCCTTTCGGCAGTACTTGAGGTAGTAGGAATGGTTAATAAATATATCTATTCTCTCCTTCATAAAATCTTATGTCTTCTTTGAAAAAACATCCAAAAATTCAGTGTTATTATCTATTAGGAATAAAAATAAATTAAAGACAACAATTTAAATTATACTTCTCAAATTTTTCAGGCAATCTTTTGCCAATTGAATTTGATTTATTGCAAACCCTATCCTTGGAAATGGTTTGCAATTTTGTACAAGCCAAACTTGTTATCAGCAATATATTATCCAAAACACAAAGTGATAAAATAAAATAAAATTTTTCTATTCTAAAGACTATAGCACTAGCCATAGTGGAAGAGGCAGGATCTTCAGAATCCTTTAAATTTGTTAAAGCTGCCCTAAAGGCATCATAAAATAGAAAAAAATTTACAATAGCTTTATAAGACGATAGCCAGCTTCTATAAATATAAAATAAACATTTTAAATCTAAACAAATAAGATAATATTACAGAGTGCCATTCTTGATGCGTAAAAATTGTTGCGATTTTGTCAGAACATTACTCTGACATGATTTGAGCAGCTCATATCTTTTAACACCATTAAAATAAATATTTGTCTAATATTCCTAAAACATTACGCAGTTCTTTTATTGATTGACATAATTGAACAATGATTAAATTTAATCGCTGACAATATCACCAAAAAAAGCTGCCTTTGGGGTCTCCTCTCAAATCACCTGCACTCCATTGATTCTTCCACTCATGTTTGAGGCGCCATCATAGCTTTGCCCAATTTAAGGTGTAAATTCATGTAGCCAAGTTTGGATATTATATTCTTTTTACTATCGAGACCAGTTGTATTTCCCGTACAATATATGTCTATCAGTCTTTCAACGGGATTCGGCGTCTCACTATTTTCAAAGATAATAGATTTGAATATAAAACGTTTTTAATCCCTTATTTTTTTTCTCCCTTCTTCTTTCTTCGTTTTATTGTATATACATTTTGAGTACGTTCAGAATCTGCAATGAATTTAATAAGGCATTACTTTGCTATTTGTCCAATTTTGAGTAATATTCTTAAAAGCTACTATTTCAAAGCTTTTCTTTATATCGTTAAAATTAAGCCCACCATGTCTTTTTCTAATGTGATCTGTCCATTTATCATCACTTATATTATGCGATGTGCAATTTTTAATTAAGCATTTGTATTTTTTTAAGTTAATATTTTTGGGCATATTTTGAAATTGGAAAAATAATTTATGACAAGAAATCTCGGATAACAACCTAATTTACTAAACATCGATCAAAATTCTCGTCAATACATATTAAATTAAATAATAAGTTGGGGGTGGGGTCTTATTATTACATTCATAACCCAGGAATCACTTAGTTATGGATGGATGTAGCAAAACAATAAAATAATTTAAATTTAAAAAAATATTTTAAAAAGTACCCCCACTCAAATTTTTAGAAGCAGTTGCTTGGGACCCCCCCCCCTTCCGTTGTAAGGCCACTGCTGCCAAATTAAAAAAAGAGTGTATAAAGGTGCTCACCATTTTTGTGGACGTGATTTGAGATCATTTGATGTAATTCATGGGGAAGTGTTGATTTTTGCCAATATTTTGCCAAAATTGGCTCAATATATGGAAATATTGATGTTAAAAGCTTCATTCCAAATCCCACGATAATTTCTAGAAATTTAATAGATACTGTTGATGGTATACGCAATTTAAACGCATATATGAAAAAGGGTCGATGTGCTGTTAACAAATATATGAAAATATGGTAAAATTATTTATAATTTTTAGATTCGATTGTATTTGAACTTTTTTATAATATATTTTACAAATTAAATAAAAATGCAACTTAATATATATCTTGATTAGATTATGGCCATTGAATAAACGTTTATTTAAGGTGACGATGAATATATACATATTTTTTAGTTATTATAATATTCAAACTCAAATTGTAAAATTTAATTCGGAGTCGGGTCGGGTTGGACTAAAAATGTGTGCTCGGGCTCGGATCGGGCTGCGATAAAATTAGTTTGCAGACCTCTAACGACGATGATTAATTGCTTAATAAATAGGTAAAAATTGACTTCCGATCAAATAATTTAGCAGTATTGGCTATCCAAAAAAATTCAATAACCTAAATTACACACCCTCTAGCTAGTATTTCTTGCTCCTTACTCGAAGTAACGGTGAAGAGATCCTTCAGTACACTCACTAGAATTAAGTAACCCGATTATGAACTAAATTTTACAATTGTTTTAGACGATATTTTAATCATCAAACTTAATAAAAATTTGTTAAACAAATCTTTTGAGGTTTGACATTTATTTTTACTTATCATATTTTTATGTGGTGATAAAATATTTGAGTGCAGGGTAAGAAAAAAAACTTAAATAAAATATTTAAAAAAACAAAATAATTATCCCCACCATAAAAACTAAAATAATTTTTTTTAACATAAAATTTTAAAAATGAAATAAAAATATAATAATTTTTTTAATTATTATTTGCTATATAGTGGCGTGGCACCATATATAAAATAAAAAACATAAATAAATAAAATCCAGAGTATTTTTGTTTATTTTCATATTTAAAATTTTTTTAAAAAAATGAAATATATTAAAAATTAATGTTAAGGGATATGTTTTAAGTGCAATACAAATAGAAAAATAAATATATTTTGATCTTTTGTATAAATAAAATAAATATATATTAAATAAAGAATTCACAAGTCATTTTCGAAACTATAATATAAGAAAGGTAAATTTAATAGAAAATAAAACAATGAAAAAAATAAGTTAAAAAATTAATCATAATTTGACCTTAAGTTTTACCCAAAAAGAAATTGTGTATTTTTTAACTCTTCCAGTTTATAGATAAAAATTAATTTTATAAAAAAACATCGATCATAAAATAAATAATTTTTTTATAAATTGCAAATGTGTTATTTTAATTATTTTTGCAAAATATTTTTATCTGGATAGGTTTTAATTTAATCGTCAACATGTTTCATTAAATCATCACAACACTAAATGTTGATTTTTATGTTTTATATAATATGCATTTACATTATAAGATAAATAAACAAATTTATTTCTAAATTTTAGGGTTTAACAATTCTGCACCAGTCTCCCTTAAGTAGATTTTTATATTGAGATAATCTAGGTTTTATATTAATGGATTCGTCCATGATTATAGTTATTCCAAACCTAGCTCACATAAACAAGATAAGAACATTTTATTTTTTAAAAAAGGAATCTAATATATTCCTTTTTTTAATACGATGAATATTTCTATGAACTCGTCCTCTAGTTTTTAATTAGGTTCCCAATCACAACTCTAGTTCGTGACTCGAGATGGTAGAGTAAAACATATATAAAAAATTTGCAGATCAAGTTAACAACATTTTATTAAAAAAAGGGAATCTAATTATTAATATGTTAATTATATGTGATATTGAACTACTCATCCTCTAAATTGGGTGCATGATCACTGAGTTGCTAGTGTAAAGTAAAATTATAAAATATTTTCAGATAAACAATTTTTTAAAAAAAGAATCTAATATTATTAAAGATAATTTTCATGCTAATATTGAAATATTTGTACTCTATGTATATAAATATGATTTAGCAAAATAATCACAATAGAATATTATAAGTTGGTTTTAGTAGGTTGGTGCTCGGGTCAAGGCTCAGGGGTCAATGCTTGGGTGTATAGATTTACCAAATTGACCCATAGGTTGGGTTGGTTCTGGTTCATTTTTCAACCAAAAACCAGGATTGAAGTCATGTAAAATCAATCATTTAACCATACTAATAGAAAGTAATAATAAAAAACTATAAAGTAAAATAAAAATATGCCTTATTAGTATAACAAATTGAAATAAATTATAAGTAAAAAAGAAACACCTTATTAACAAATTTAAAAATCCAATCATAACCTTATATAATTGACCATATTATATTATATAAAATGTTGGCTTTGATTGATTAATGAAACATCTACATTCTAAATCATAAAACCAAGTAGAAAATATTTTTTAGAGAAATTAAGCAATAAAATTTTTAAGTCAATACAATCAGATCCTTTACATATAAATTTAGTGTTTTCTTATAATAATAAAAAATTAGTAATAAAATAGTGTGTAAATTATTAATTGAGTTTTGCCAATCCAATCTAATATTTACCCCAAACTGTTGAGATAAATATTTACTAATAATTTGTGGATTGACACACCTCTAATTATTATAAAAATGGAGTTCTATAATATATAGAAATATCATTATAATAAATTTTACCAGTATACCCTTCACTTGATTTTCCAGTTAAACTGAATTTATAATTAATGTTAAAAGTTGAAAATTTGTTAATACTTATTCTCAAAGGGCAATAATAGTTCATGGGTAGAGTAAGGTTTAGGATGAATTTGTAGTTTTTTAAGTAACAAATAGCTCGATTCATCTTTGGCATTAAAGTTTAAATATTTTCCAAAGTTAACCTATTAACATTGAATAATGAAAAAATTATGCATATATTTACATAATTCATGTGTTCCTTGGAGCTACTTAAAGAGTTTAAAAAATAAAGTATATTATAGAATTCAGTATATGGTATCTAAAATTTATATAGTCATAATTTTAAAGACTAAATATTAACTTGAGTTTTTAAATTAAGAATGATTTCAGATAAGGTTAATAAATCTTCAATTTGATTATTATAAAATACTAAGTATATAAATAGATATTAAAATAAAATTATAATTTACATTTCTTTTTTAACTTTTCTTCAATCTCAAAGTCATCTAAATTTGGTGCAGGTGTCATTGAGCTTGTAAAATAAAAGATTATGATAAAGATGCTGAAAATTTACCTTTTTAGCATCTTTAAACAAATTTCCATATTTTGGTTACTTAATTCTGGAAAAAGAATCAATTAAATAAAAGATTCATTAACTTTATTACCCTTGTGAGTTAGATTAAAGGAAAGCTCATTTAAAAGTGAAGATAAATCCATTTTTTTTTTAAATTCAAATTTATGAGCGAATGTTTCTATATAACACAAATCTCAACATATGTGCTTAATGCTAAAACAAAGACATACTTAGAGACGGATTTGAAATTCATAATAAATAATATATTCATGAATATTTTTATATGTAGAATACTTTTTTCTATAGTTAAGACTTCTACTTAATTTTATTTAAAATGTGCGAACATAAATAAGAAATTAGATTCAAATTTATTATATGACGAATAACAGTGGCATAGCAAGGAGGGGGGGAGGTGTGCAGGGGCTCGAGCCCCTGAAAAATTTGAATAGCCCCCTGAAGATAAAAAAAGATTTTTTAATGGAATCTTAATCCCTTGAACTAAAAATAAATTTTTTTGATTGCCCTCTGAACGATTTCTTTTATAATTCTATTAAGCAATTTATAGATTTAATTTTATTATTTAAAAATTAATAAGACTGCCTAAATATTTATTAAATGAATGCTATTTTACATATTAGATTAGATTAACACATATAAATTATATTTTCACTATGTCAGCTTGCAATCAAATTTTGTGTGTCATTGGTTAAAAATAGAATATCAATATCACTAACTAAATATTAATTTAGCATTAACAGTTGAAGCTTAATTGACTATTATTATTTAAAATATTATATAACCCTAATTTAATAAATATAGTCATTTATTAATTGAAAACTAAAAAATTTAATATTGTAATTAGCCTAATGACTAATCAACTATATATATATATATATTTTTTTATCATACCTATTCTTAAAAATATTTTCAAGGTCCAAATAAGTATAAGAGATTTCTTTATAAAAAGTAAGTATGGACATATAGTTTATAGTCCTCTATTATATACAGTTGTTTATAAAATATTAGATAAAACGCCACTTTTATAGACGTATTTGTCAGTTATATAATATATTACAGTTAATATTATAGTGGATTTTACTGCTTTTGATAATAAATCTATTATAATAATCCTCAAAAAACGTCAATCAAATTTAGCCAATAGTGTTCTTTTAAAAAAAAATTGTCTAATAAAAATGATTATAGGGTAATCGGCATAATAGTAATCATGTAACAACTTTAACATTCATTCAATTTTATAACACATTTTACCATCTTCACTTCTTAAGGTTTTTTTTATAGTTTATATAGTTAACCTACAGGAAACGTTAATATATTAGAATATTCAAGTCTTTTAAAATCGGCTTCAAAGAAATTTAAACTTCAAACTGGGTAGAATAAAGGAGAGTTTTAATGTCACAATATGTCTCTAGGAATTTAGGGGTAAAACAATTTTGTTATCAAAACTATTTTTAAAGTATACTTTGATAAAAATTTTGAATATTTTAATTTTTTTTAAAACTTAAATGTGTCCTAAGTGTTGTTATAAATTTGTGAAAATTTTAAGGATAAATTTTAGTTAATTATTATTCAATAAATTTTTTGGTTTTAAAGAAAAGTTATTGGGAGAATAGAATAATATTTCTCAAAATTATAAAAATAAAATTTGGTATCTATTCTATCTCCAGTTTGCGAATAATAATAAAAATGATTATTTTAGAAAGGAAATATTAAATATACACATGAATTTCATATAAAACCTACACTTATAAAAAATTATTTAAATTTAAGACATTCATAAATACTCTTTTAAACAAAGACCTCCTATCATAGATTTAAATCAAATATGAGGTCAACCTGATTGCGTCATAAAAACTCTGTGGTGGTATCTACTGGCTATTTAGAAGATTATTGGCAAGGGTCAAAATTCAGGGTCTTAATTTATTAGGTATACATAGCAATTAAGATTGATTGTTAAGGGAGAAGTATTGATATTTTCTCATAACTTCATAATTGTAGAATGTATGTTATTCATAACTTATAACATTTTTGATGAAATGTATAACATTTTTGATGAAATGTATAACATTTTTGATGAAATGTATAACATTTTTGATAAAATGTATAACATTTTTGATGAAATGTATAACATTTTTGATAAAACGTATAACATTTTTGATGAAATGTATAACATTTTGTTTTACTTATATATAATTTGACTATGATTGTAGTTAACCTCTTATTATTTGATAACTTAAAATCTTTTTATTTTTTCTAGTAATTTAATATCAATTTCTTAAATTTAAATTTATAATTTGTAACTAAATAATAAATCATTAGGAAAGATGGTGGTTTGTTTAAAATTTAAATTAGGATGAACATATTTTCAGCATGAAATAATGTGTATTCATGAATTTCATATAATGATAGGTAAATAAGAAATTTCCCTTTCATTTGATGATAATTTTGAAAAATTTTCTCAATTAATATATACATATATTAGACAGATTTAATTCTTATAAACCCCTTACTATTTTTCAGGATCCAAGGAAAAAATTAATTATTCTGAGTTTTCCTGGGCTTGATAAATATTTTTCACAATTAATTTGGACTTGGACGTAGCTTGCTAAACATTTTTCAAAAATTTTTTAATTTAAAAAATGGGCTAGAAATTAGCCTGAAAATTTATTTTGAAGACATGGTCAGACCTGATCAAAAACCAAGGCCCATGCAACTTTCATATTCTGATTGTATTTTTAAATGCATTGTGACTTTTTATATATTTTATTTCAGTTCTCAACTACCAAAATAACTATGATCTTTGGCAGGTTTGAGAAAATTTTCCAAAGTGCGTGGACCTGGCTTGGGATATTTTTTAATATTAGGCATAGGTGTAATATTTAACACAGAATATTTATATGGCCCTCAGGTAAAAGCTAATTTAAATATTATTTTTATTCAAAAAAATAGTCTTCACTCTTAGTCTAAATGGGTTGGCCTTGGTCTGAAGTGGGGGTGAGCTGGGTTAAGATAGAATAAAAAATAGATATGGTTTTTAGAGATTTACCTATCTCCAGGTTTGGGAAAAATTTTTAAAAATTACTATGCATTGGCCAGGCTTGAAAAATTTTTTTATAAAATTATTATGAGTTGGACTGGGCTTGGAAAATATTTTTATTATATTGGGCTGGCTTGGGGAAAATTATGAGCTTGGACGTTTGATAATTTTTTTATTATTAACTATGGGACAGACATTGGCTTAAAACCAGAGTTGTACAAATAAAAAAATTTGAGCAAGATCTTTGAAGATCGTAAAATTTGAAGATCTTTTACTTTTAAAAAATTTTAAGCAATCTTCAAAGATCGAGATCTTTTGAAAATCTTTTGAAGATCTTTTATTTAAAAATATTTTAGATCAAACGATCTTCAAAGATCTTCATATTTTATAATGTTTTATTTTTTTTGATATTATTTTTTGAAGTAAATGGATTAGTAAGCATGTTAAATTAAAATAAATAATAAAGATGTACCGACAATTTTCATAATCGTTATTTTTTTAAACTTTTTTCGACATATATGGGTAAAAAAAATTTATATTAAAAAAAATTTATATTATAATTTCAATGAAGATGTAATGTAAGTAATCTAAAAAAGTGGAAATTGTAATAATCGTTATTTTTAACTTATTTGATTTATTATATCGTAAATTAAATAGGTTATAATTATTAATATTAAGATGTAAAAATAAAATTTCAATGAAGATGTACCATAGAAAAGTGACAATTGTTATAATCGTTATTTTTGAAATTTTTTTTAAAGCATAGATATTGTTAACATGTTAAATTAAAATTTCAGTGAAGATGAACCACAGGAAAGTGACAATTATCATAATCGTTATTATTGAACTTTTTTAAATTTTTTTAAAGCAAATGGGTAAAAATAGATATTGTTAACATGTTAAAGTAAAATTTCAGTGAAGATGAACCACAGGAAAGTGACAATTATCATAATCGTTATAATTGAACTTTTTTAATTTTTTTTAAAGCAAATGGGTAAAAATAGATATTGTTAACATGTTAAATTAAAATTTCAGTGAAGATATACTACAGGGAAGTGACAATTGTCATAATCGTTATTTTTGAACTTTTTTGAATTTTTTTAAAGCAAATGGATAAAAGAAGATATTGTTAACATGTTAAATTAAAATTTCAGTGAAGATGTACTACAGGAAAGTGACAATTGTCATAATCGTTATTTTTGAACTTTTTTGAATTTTTTTAAAGCAAATGGATAAAAGAAGATATTCTTAACATGTTAAATTAAAATTTCAGTGAAGATGTACTACAGGAAAGTGACAATTGTCATAATCGTTATTTTTGAACTTTTTTGAATTTTTTTAAAGCAAATGGATAAAAGAAGATATTGTTAACATGTTAAATTAAAATTTCAGTGAAGATGTACTACAGGAAAGTGACAATTGTCATAATCGTTATTTTTGAACTTTTTTGAATTAAATTAAAATTTCAGTTAAGATATACTACAGGAAAGTGACAATTGTCATAATCGTTATTTTTGAACTTTTTTGAATTTTTTTAAAGCATTTGGGTAAAAATAGATATTGTTAACATGTTAAATTAAAATTTCAGTGAAGATATACTATAGGGAAGTGACAATTGTCATAATCGTTAT